TGGAGCATGGATGCTGAACTCACTCGGTGAACACAGTAACCCATTTGGTTATTGTGTTAAAGGAGAGAGGGAAATGGTCTATTCTGGCTCTTGGACAGGACTGCCAGGGCTGAAACACTTCTTGCTAAACTCAGCATTATCAGCCTTTTTTATCAGCTTGTGTTGCCTGACAGACAGTCTTCTGGCCTCACCTATGGGACTGGGAAACTTAAGTGCTGGGGTGATTCATTTCTGACTCCCAAGTGGGCATCAGTAGGAGTTACTGCCTGGCTGCTCTGTCCTGCTGTGACGGCTGTTGGTGTGGGCTCAGCTGGGAGCAAAACCAGCCCCAAGGAAACTTTACTGCAAAAGGCTTTCCGTAACAGCGCCTCATAGATTCAGAAGGGCTTTGGCGGATGCTCTGAGACTCACTTTGATAAGGTTTTGAGCCCTGAAGAGATTAGCACGTGCCAGCTGAGCTGTGGTAACTCTCCATGTGTTTGCAGCCCCCCAGGATCTGCAGCGGGGTTAGCGGTGCTGCATGTAGAGCTGAGTTACAGGAGCACACTGCAGCTCCTGTGGGCCCGTGGCCACGCCGGGACCCACTGGTGTCCGCACCTCTCTGAGCTCTCATCCAAACTGCCTGAGCCTGCCTGTATAAAGCTGTTGCCCTCTACGTGAGGGAAATCTGCAATATATTTCAGAATGTGCAGGGGAGCAGCGGACCCCCTCAACCGTAAGTCTCAGTGAATTTGGGAGTAGGTTTTGTGTTATGTTGAAAATTGAAGAGTTGGCTACTTCTTAATTCGTGTTCTGGCAGCAGAGGTATGAGGCAGAAATGGTGGGAGGCTGTTTTGTTTCCCCCTCCGCTGTACACCATTTTGCCCTACTGAACTGCTTTATTTGGGACACTTCCTTGGGACAGGTTGCTGGGGTTAATTGTTACACCCACCTCCTGACAAATGAGCGTGACATCAGACTGACTTCAATTTTTTTATAAATATCTACTGCCAATTTGATTAACAGACCTGGCACAGACCTGGAGTTAAAACTGAAAGGGACTGAATATTACTCCTTCCTTTTAAGGGTGTCATAATTTCCCCTCTAGATGGAAAAAGCTTCACACTTACATTTTTCACTAGTATCTACCATTGCGAGCCTTAGATTTTGTCTTTTTTAAGCCTGCATCCTGTAAAACACTGTAATTGCATGCAGCTGTGTTTGCAAGCCATCCTCTGCAAAGGGAAAGCGTGCACTGAAAAAGCACCCAAGCAGAGGACCTCCAAAATACACACTGCAAAAGCTGCTAGCTTACCAAAAAGACCCTCTTTGGTCTGCCCTCCCCTGCCCTCCTCTGCTGTTGCTACCTTGCAGTTTATGACATCCAGATAGTGGGAGGTCTGACAAACTGAACAAGGCAGCGAGCAAGAAATTCCATTCCTGTTGAAATCAGTAATTCCTCCGTGCAGGCTGCTTTTTGTGTGTGTGTGTGTGTGCTCTTTCTTTTGTGTCACTTTGAGAAGGGCTCTGATATTATTATTCTTTTAAATATAGCTTGCCCTGGGGCGGGGAAATGCACAAGGAAAGAGTCGGCAAGCAGCCTATCTCTCAGAAGAAAAGACCAAGCCTCGCAGCACAGGAACTGGCTTCACTCAAGTGTGCAGTTTAGAAGTCAAAAACTATTCCAAATACCACCATTTTGGAGGAGGCTGAAGAAAAAGGACACAAAACTGGCTAACCACAGTGAAGAATATGGTAAATCAGGGTACAAAGTGCACCTAATTGCTGTTTGAGAGTGGGCTCTGAAGTACAATGTAAGTCTTCCTTAAATTGTATTTTTTATCACAGTATCTAGTTGTTTAATTTCCATTCTGAAGCCAGGCTGGGCCAAAAGGTACAATTAGCTATAAAAATCAGCATGGAGCAGAATGTGTAATCTCTGATATGAGGCTGAAAATGATACTGAAATACAACAGAAGTCAGAGACTATCAGCCATATTATGGAAGATGAACTATAAATACGAGCATATCTAATTATTTCAAGAGAAAGATACTGGATGGAATCTTTAATCAACTTTCTTAATAGGGAAGTGAGAGCTCTGCTGTTTCGTATGGCAAGCTATTTTAATACTGCTGTGTTCAAAATTGTGTGATTACAGTTACCAATAGCAATAAGATGTAGCTCCAGAGGGGAGTCCTAGTGGTTGCAAAAGTTTTTTCTCTTTTATTTCTCCAACATTTTTCTCTCTGAAGCCTCAAGTCCACATTCTCTATCCTACAGTTTGGTTTTGCTTTTCAGCTGGATTTTCAATGTATGCCTACACTGGACTTCCTATGGAACTGAAAACAAACCATTTCAGCATTCGGAGTAATTCTGGTATGGTTTTCTATATCACGCCAGTGGCAAAAATACAGTTGACAAAAGATTGTGCTCCCTCAACTTTTGGCATGGACAGCTGAGGAATATAAAGCCTGATGGTGACAAAGGGTGATAATTCCCTATTTTTCCACTATTTACCTCACCAGTTTCAGACTTAGCAATGGATATTCTTTGTGATGAGGAGAGCTCGGTGAACCCAACTGCAAACTCCTTAATACAAATAAATCATGAGAGAAGACTCTACAGAAATGTTCACGGAACTGGAGAGATTAATACATCACATCTCTTTAACTTGACTGTGGACTCTGAAAACCTAACCAATCTTTCATGTGAAAGTAACATGAGTCCACCGTGCTACTCTTCCCTGTTTCAGCTTTCACAGAACTGGCCAGCTTTGCTGACAGTGATAGTGATTGTTTTAACCATTGCTGGAAATATTCTTGTCATCATGGCTGTATCACTGGAGAAAAAACTACAGAATGCCACTAACTATTTTCTAATGTCACTTGCAATAGCTGATATGCTGCTGGGTTTCCTTGTCATGCCTGTGTCAATGTTAACCATACTGTACGGTGAGTATTAGCTATGTAACCTACTGCATGTATTGAGGAGCTTTAAACATTGCATGCACATGTTGTGGCTGTTGTTGTTATTATTTCATTCTCTTACCACAAAAAATTGTAATCACTCCATACAAATTGAAATATACGTAATTGGTTAATGGATGTAAGAATAGGTGAAGTACTTAAATCTTTTCCTACCTTATATTTCTAATTACAGGCATTTTAAATACAGTCCAGAACATTAGTTTATTACTCAGTTGCTGGAGGAATTGTCTCAAAGTGTATATGAAGATGCTTTGTTCTCTCTATTCTTTCAGGTTTTTTTCCCTGGCTTATAAATTTCAATATTCCTAATGAGAATGTAGGGTCCTGCCAGTTACTTTGCTCTGCAAATATGCACAGAAGCACTAATGACTACCTTTAGATCCGAAGTAGCAACCCCTTCACCCTTTTTAATGAAATAATACAAACGTAAATAATTCTCTTAGCACCAATACCCTGCTTAGACATCTACTTAACAGCAAATGGTGGAATAAATATTGTGGGAGTTAAAAAAATGGATGGGAATTAATTCTGCCTAATTTTTAGTAACATTTACAAATGCAAAGCTATGATTTCTTAAGATAAGTTATTTAAGAATTAAGTGAATAATGACTCACAGTTCATACCCTTATAAGTGATTAATAGCACACCTTTCTTCACATTTTCACCAAAAACACTTCCAGCACAGCTCATGTAGAAAAAAGCACCAGCCTATGTGTTCGTTACCAATATTGTCAGGCTGTTACAATCCCTAAACTTAAAGAAATTAGTTTTCCAGTGTCACAACTGAATTGCTACAGTTCAAGGAGAAGCCAGGCAATGTCAGGAGGAAAGTGAGGTTGTTTGCAAAGATTTCTACTGCTTCACTATTTGGGGACTAAAGATCTAAGCATAAACCTGTGACTTAAGAGAGATTTCATCCAGAAAACTGGAAGTTTATTTCCCAGTTTCAGTATTTCTACACAGATTGCCCTCAGAAGCATTTGCAAACTGTATTTGGCATCAGTGATGGTGTAATGATGATGTGATTTATTGTATTAGTGGTGCAATTACCTTTGGTGGGAGAAACAGTGTGAAAGAGAGCCGCGGAAGCAGAAATTGTCCGATGCGTGAGATTAGCAAAACCCTTTAAAATCCTGCGTGATTCCCTGAGACATGCAATAGGGACTCCTGCTGGCCAGGCTCCGCTGCTGAGGAAAGAGGCATCCGAAATCCGTGGCTCGGAATTGATTTGGAAGTTAGGATGCGGGATTTCCTGCACGCAGCAAAGCTGAAACCCTCATCGGGGTGGGGGGGGAAGGCAGCGTCGCCCTCCTTTGCAATCACCAGCGCAGAGGAGCAGCAGGGCACCTAAAGCCATAGGGGAGGGAGTGTGCTGGCTTTGCCTCCTCTCTCCCTGCTTTTTCCCTTGCAAGGTCAAGAAGGGGAGGCCTTTGCAGAATATCTTTGGGTGAAAAATAATCTGGCAGTGCACGCTGGTACCAGAAGAGCTGTCTCAGTATGGTGCACCATCAACCTCCAGGACAAGCAGTGATGGTGCAGAGGGAAACCTCCCCTTATGCAGGAGCATTTGCTTGGCCTCAGCTGCCCAGAGAAAGGCCAGGATGCAGCCAGCATCAGCCACATCACCTATGTTGACAGTCCTGAGCCCAAACCAGGGGCCTTTGCACCCGCCTCACTCTGCCGGGGTACCTCCAAGGTTGTGGAATGAGAGTGTTCCACCACCCGCCCCACAGCCCCTTGAAGGGGGATTGTGACTGTTTTGCTCAAAAGACAGATGATTTCCTTCTTCAGAGCTTTATGGCTACTACGGGCAATTCCTTTCACCCCCAGCCATATGCCTGCCCCAGCCTGCACCCTTTGGGCCAGGCCATGCTTCTCCATCCTCCCAGCAGCACCAGCCTCTGCTGGAAAAAAAGACACCCAGCAAGTCCTGCCAAGGTGGACGTGCCCACAGAGCAGAAAACTCATGAAGTTGAACAACAGCACTGGTTCCCACCCAAAAACACATAGGGTGCTGGATGTCTGTTGCTCCCACGCTGTGGGGCAACAGCAACAGTGTGGAGCAGCTGTCGGGATTATTGGCAGATGATGCATAACTCCCTGCTGCAGTGGAAGGACCAGGCATTTCAGAGGGCTCCTGTCCAGCCCAGTGCTGATCCCAGACATGTGCTTCTGACAAGGCAGGACAGTGCACAGGGCCTCCTCAGCAACTGCCCATACCTCTGGACTCTCCTCTCTTCTTTCCTTACAGCACTTCCTTAGCCACTCAAAATAGTTTTCCCGTATCTCCTGTTACCAACAAGCAGCAGCCCAGCCATCCTGGCCAGCTTGGCTTGTTTGCCTCCTCACCTGAAAGGCCTTGTGAGAAAACATTTTTCCTCTCCTGGATGCTACTATCTGGCTACATCGGGAAGAAAATCTTATCTCAGCCTAGGGACTACCTGCCCTCCCTCTCAGTCTCTCCACCTGAAAATGTATAGATGCACAAGCATCACTTGCCTGTCCCTTGGACGGGACTCCCTCATATGAGTTCCTGGACCTCATGAGCTCTCATGGACCACATGAAATCCTGGACCTTGTATAACTTTCCCTGCCTACCCAATCTTTACATTGCAGCAGTTTTGTTTTGCTTTGTTTTGTTTCCCCCGGATATGTCGAGGGGTGAATTGGTCAGTGGCCAAGGTGCCCTGTGCCATGTGCCCCATAAAATGTCCCAAGGCCTGCCTACAAAATTCCTAATTCTTATTGCGTCCACAGTTGGCTCCTCTCATGTACTTTCCCCTTTCTTGGTCCTGTAGTCTCCAAGGTACTCTATCTGATGGATGCTGTTTTATCCCTGCCCCATTCAGGTTTAGAGCAAGGACAAGAGGTCTAGAAGGATATGACAAATGCGCTCCCAAAGGCCACTGAAGCAAGAGAACAGATGCATGTTGTCAAGTGTAAAAATACTTTTTTACTTTTCCCTGTGTGAACTGTCCTGGCCTGACAGAGAGATGCTGCTGGGAAGACATGGCGTTGAAAGCCAGCCCTCACGTAATACACTCCAGAGACCAGATTCCGCACTGGAAGACCAGAAAACAAGATAAAACATATTCATAAATGCTGTATGGTTTGTCAGGGTCAGATCATATTATAGCAGTCCAAGAGCACCAAGAAATAGGTCTCCTCAGTGCTTACTGAGACTAAATTCAATTAGGCACAGACCTA